AAAAACTATATATTTGCAAACTCTGAACTTAAAGTATTTTCCAAGTACTTTTTTTTCCTCTCTCTATAGAATGCGGAGAGAAAATTTCTAGTAGGATACAAAGTAATGCACGTCTGGTATTGGATTGTACGTAGCAAAGAATGTAGAAACAAGAAGCTGCAAACAAAGCAGGAGTCGTCATATAATGGACTTCTCGAGTTTGTCCTGTACAGTGCACATTTTTTGTTTTTATCGTATAGAGGTCAGATTTGAACCCCTGATTACAAATCATCAGAGCTCAATTGCCAACGAATCCATGAGCAGTGATCAAAATGTCATTTTTTTTTTTCTAAATGTCACGTGAACAGTATTATTTCTCAATATGTCACGTAGACAAGTTCGTTGGACACTGTAGCAAATTCGATTTGCTGACATGTTACGTTTTTAGTGGACACAAATACCAAATTCGCTACTGCGGGTAGCGAATATTCTAACCAAGTTTGCTATCCGCTATAGTGAATTTGGTATTTGTGTCCACTAAAAACGTAACACGTCAGCAAATCGAATTTGCTACAGTGTCCAATGAACTTGTCTACGTGACATATTGAGAAATAACACTGTTGACGTAATATTTAGATAAAAAATTTGATGAACAATAACATTTTAAGCGGTGTTCCACAATCTACCCTTAAGGTTATTGTGTAATGTTTTTTTAATCAATATACTATGTTACTTCCAAGAGATTAATTCGGTCCCTGTCAGGCGCGCTAACTCTCGTTTTGCGGATAAATGCTATATATTTAATCAGAATAATACTTTTCTATATTTACTTTCAAAACGACGTAGTTTTGAGATTGAAAAATTAAATAATTATAATATAGAGATTATAATAACTCTGAAATAAATTAAAATTATAAAAATACTATGATTTTTGTCCTAAAATAACGTCGTATTAGATTTATTGCATATAACTTATCTGCAATAACTGCAGAAAAAATGAACCTATATTTAATTTCATTACTCCCGTAAAGAAAAATATTGAACGAATAATATCCTATTGACATAAGAAATAATAATTACAAAAAAAACTTTGGTATGATATCATGTTTGGTTGGAAAGCAATCAAAATAGAGGGGGATATTTTGACTACCAAAATTAAAGTGTCCACTACCACCTTACTACCTATCAAATCACCATTAGATCAAAGAGAGAGAATGTTAAAAAGATTTTGAAGAAAGAGAAAATGTTAATCCAATGGTGATTAAATAAGTAGTAAGGTGGTAGTGGAAACTTTTGGTAATCAAAATATCCTCTCTCATCAAAATATGATGACGTTTCATTGTTTCCGTAATAAATGAAAGATAATTGTTGTTGGTAATGGGACAGGTCTTTATTTTACCGTCATAAACCTTGTGTGATTTTAAAATACAAACAAATAAAAATGGGACAGGTAATCGAATCTCAGCGCCGAGAGTTCTTCGTCATGATTTATTAAATCGTCTAAATTTATTATTTAACTATGCTCATACCAAATAATATAATAAGATTGTACGGAAAAATGATCGGTTTACAATTTAATCCTTTGAATTAATCAATTTTGTTTAATTTTTTAACATTTATTGAGATATCTCACTAGTTTGTAAAGACTGATCTTGAAAATAGCTGACTTAGTAGCTATGTGTTGTGATTACGATAAGTATACCGTTCGTTTCAAATAACAAAGTAGTAAATAAGAATATTGTTCCCACGAGGATTAATGCGTCAAATACTATTATAACTAGTCCCCTTAATTTGGAAAACTCGAATTGGTTTGGAAAATAGATTAATTTTTGAATTTAAAATAAAACTAAAATTAATTGCAGTAAGCAACAAGAATATCAACAATGCAAGAATTGAGAATTAAATTTAGAATATCAAAAACAAAAGCCGCACTTAAGAATTATTTCAACTCAGATCCTCCTATAGTAATTTAAATTAATTTCAATATTAATTTACCTTAGATATTTCAGATGATTCATTTTCTAAAATTAGTTGGTTAAATCCTAATGTCTTAGTAACTTTAACCCTTTACTGTAATTTTAGAATCTTAATGTCTTAGTAATCCCTCTTAGAATAAGCATTAAACGCGATGAATTATGAAGTCTACAACTCAAACAAGCCTATGTCTAGATCATACAAGAATTGGTATTTTATCCCAATCAGGATTAAAATTCCAATATGTCTATTGCAAGCCGTAATTCTCAAATCCCTATAAGAGTGATCAATTCATACAAGGATATAGAAATTCATGGAAGGTAAAATACAAAATACTGAAATAATTTATTAAAGAAACTAAATTAAACCACAAATACTGAAATAATTTATTAAAGAAACTAAAAAAACCACAAATAGGATTCACATCGGATCCACAATCCTAACTACATAAATAAATTTAGTCTAGCATGTTCATAAATTCAGAATCAATAAATATGCTGAAAGATAAAAAGAGTTCAAGATAAAACTTGGTTGATAAACAATGATGAAACTTCAATCTCCTTCTCCTCCTCTGGAATCCTGCTCCAGAATTTCTCCTCCACTTCTGCCTTATGCCTTCTCCTCCGAGTTCGTCTTTCTTTCGTCTTCTGAATCGTGTATTTTCTGAAGGCTTCATCGCGTTTACTTATAGGCTTAAAACTGGGCCTTCAATTTTGGGCCAGCTCGTCCTAATTGAAGAAAAACAGATAAGAGCTTAAAAAGCACATAATTGAAGAAAAGCATATAAAATCTTAAAAATCACATAATTCAAGAAAAACAGATAAGAGTTTAGAAAAACTCCTCCTAGGAGCTTTTAACTTTCAGTTTTTTTCTTCATTATAAAAAAAGAGCTTTTTGTTATAAGAGATTTTCTCAAAACCTGTTTGGCCTAACTTATGCTTATAAGTAGCTTTTAGCTTAAAAATAAAAGGATTCAAACAGGCACTAATTAAGCTTATCACATAACACTATTTGTCTATATTTTATTAAGTAGCAATATCAAAGTCTGAGGATGAAAAAATGGCATAAACCTATAAATAAACCAAACTATATAGATGTAAGATAACGTACGTATAAGTATATATGTGTCTAGTTATTTCATATTTTGATTAAATAGAGTCAAATTTTGCAAAGAATTTCGCTAGCAATTAAGGACATATGACAATGTGTTCTTTCTACCTTAATCAATTAGTTCAGTTTCAATCTTAAATAAGCACTTAGCGGTACATCATTAATTAAAAAAGACCCAAAATTTCGTCACAGTAAATAAAAGAAAATAAAAAACTAATATTATAAAATCATGAATCCATTAATTATAGACATCCATTATTGCAATAAATTATGACAACTAAGAAATCCATTATTGACCAGTTTACTCTATAGTTTAAACTCCAACCAATATCTGCATGAGTATATAGTATTCCTAAGGTAGATAAATAGTGTTCAGAAATTTGGGGGTGTTGTAGATATGATAAATGAAAAGAAGAGTTATATTCATAAAATTTTTTTCCAACAAACTTACAAACTATATTAAGTCTGACTAGTTATACACTCTTGATTGAAGTCTGATTAGTCAGACTTAACGTAGTTTGAAAGTTTATAAAAAAAAAAAAAAATTGTTAATATAATCCTTCTCATAAATAAACACGTGGGCTATTATTTATATTTCGATTATTTAAATTATTCTTAAGTTGAAGTGATGGTAAAAAAATGTTACATGTGAAATGATCTTCATCTGAAGCGACCTAAAAAATGTTCTCTTTGGAGAAGTATTGTTTTCTATGCAATATAAGAATTCCTTTTTCATAAAGACTGTGGCACCGCTTAGTAGCACCATTCAGGTTGGAACGGATGGCTATAGGCACAAAATCCGGAGGTGAGGCTGAGAAACTAGCGGCACGAGGTTTTGTTTTATTGATTCATTCATCTTCCAACCAAAACTGCTTTTCTCTCTCTCTAAAACCCACCAACCTCTCTCTCTTTCTTTCTCTCTCTTACTTAATGGTTTCTTTTTGTTAGTGGGAAACCTCGCTTAAAATCATTTGAACTTATCTAAGAAAGATAAAATAAAATAAAAGAAATAAAAAATACTTTGGACAATGAAAATGAAACTTCCCAGAACAAACCAGAACACACACATGGGGCGTTATTTCTAGGCTTAAGTTTTCAGTCAATTTAAGCATGTGGGTGTTCCAGAAATTGTCTTGTTCACGTTAAAGGTTTGATTGGCTTCCTGGGTTTGGGAAGAATCTGTGCTTCGCTCTCTTTGCTTCTTTGTAACTTTCATTCATATCCCCTCTCTTTCTAAAATTTACTGTTTTTTTTCTTCTTCTTAATAACCGAAGAGATCAAGTTTAGTACTTTCTTCTAATACTTCCCATAATTCGGTGTAAATTTGCTTGTGTTCTTCCAACTCTCATGTGTTGTATGATAATTGTTGTTGTATAGAATTGTTTAGTTGGTGTCTGATAATGACACAACTGTGAATAAAAAATTAAGAAAACTGTCATATTTCAGAATAGTGAAGAAAGTCACTTTCTTTCTTTCTAAGGTTAGAGAGAGTTTTTATTATATTGTTTTATCTTATTCAACTTGTTGTTATGGATTGTGTTATATATGTGTGGTGTTATAAACAGAATCAGATGTTTTATGTTGCATCTCTTCATAGGATTTGAAAGACCCTTATCTCCTTTGCTTCCATAATTGGATACACAAAATACACAAAAGCAGATCTTACCCTTTTCCAGTACTAAATAGTACACACACACAAAAAAAAATATATCTATCTATCTATCTCTCTATCTCACTCTCTCCATCCATACCTCTTTATCTAGTTTCTCTCTCCTCTCTCTTCATCTTCATACCCATACCATATCTGAAGCCAACAGAATTGATAAAAAAAAGGGTTTTCATCAGATTAATTTCAACCTTTGTGGGTTGTTTTTTCTTCTTTGAAAAAGATTTTTTTTTCCTTATTTTTTTTGTAGTTGTTAATTCTCTTGATGAGAATGGACTGTGAAGTTGAATTGCAAGGGGGAGATCTACATGCAGGTGTGGTAACTGAGACAAACCCTGTTGGTTTTGGCATCATGGATGATGCAGAAACGTTAGCCGTTGCTGAGAGAGAGATGTGGCTTAACAGTGACCAAGATGATCTTCTTGGTGTGAATGATACTTCCATGTTCTATGCTGATTTCCCTCCTTTACCTGATTTTCCATGCATGTCATCATCTTCTTCCTCATCCTCAACTCCAGCACTTCCAGTGAATAACATAACATACTCCACCACCACTTCCTCCTCCTCCTCTTCCTCCTCGGCGTCGTCGTCTTCCGCCGCGTCATGGGCGGTTTTGAGGTCTGATGTTGACATAGAGGAAGATGCCGAGAAAAACAACATCAACATCATCAATAACAACAACTACAACAGTTACATGCAGCAGAATAATGATCCACTAGATGCAACAACAACTCCTGCAGCGTTATCATCCACTGCATCCATGGAGATTTCTCAACAACATCTTGATCCTGGTCTTGGTGCTAACACTGTTGGAGATTGCATGGATGATGTGATGGACACTTTTGGTTACATGGAGCTTTTAGAGTCCAATGATTTCTTTGACCCTTCATCTATTTTCCAGAGTGAAGAAAACCCTTTACCAGAATTTACCCAATTGCCACAGCTAGATGAACATGCAATGGGAATACATCACAGGGAATCTACCCAGCAACAAGGGGAAGAGGAGGATCATCATCATAATCATCATCAGCTTCTTGTGTGCAACAATAATGGGGAAGAGATCCAAGGAGAGGAAGGTGCAGGTGCAGGTGCAGGTGCAGGTGCAGGTGATGAAATGAGCATGGTTTTCTTGGAGTGGCTTAAATCTAACAAGGATAGTGTCTCTGCTAATGATTTGAGGAGTGTGAAGCTGAAGAAAGCCACAATAGAAAGTGCTGCAAGGCGTTTGGGTGGTGGCAAAGAAGCCATGAAGCAATTGTTGAAGCTTATTCTTGAATGGGTCCAAACAAGCCATCTTCAGAATAAAAGGCGCAAGGAGAATAACAATAACAATAACAATATCAATTCACAGTCAAATCTCCTCCCACAATTTCAGGATCCAAGTCAAAACCAAAACACAAACACTAGTTCATTTGCACCAGAATCAAACGCTTGTTTCAACCAAACAACACCCTGGCTTTCATCACCACAACCTTTTGGGACAGATCAAGCTCCTCTCATGGTTTCTCAAATGCCTTTTTCACAACCCATGGTTGGGTATGTGGGTGACCCTTACACAAACGGTGCTACTTCAAATAACATGAATAGTGGTGGGGGTACCCAAACCCAAAACAATAACCCTTACCAAACTTCTCCTGAATATCACATGCTGGAATCAGCAAATTCATGGCCTCCATCTCAGTTAAATGTTTCTTCTCATTATAACCAATCATTTGGGGACAATAATCTTCAGGGGCTTCCACCTTCAGCTTTTGGAAGCTATGGAAATCAATACCCTTATCAGTTTTTCCATGGCCCTGGTGATAGGTTGATGAGATTAGGCCCTTCAGCTACAAAAGAAGCGAGGAAGAAGAGGATGGCAAGGCAGAGAAGGCTTTTATCTCATCATAGGCATAACAATCATCATCAGAATCATGCTTCTGACCCACATGCAAGATTGGGAAGTGATAATTGCACCACTGTTGTAGCTGCATCTCATGCAAATCCTGCCAATTGGATGTACTGGCAAACTATGGCTGGTGGGGCGGCTTCCTTGGCACCGGTTGTTCCGGTGGAGCAATTGCCGGCAGCCGGACAACAGGTGGTGGACCGGTCCGCCATGCAGACACAGAATTATCATCAGGGTAGGGTCGCTTCTGAGAGGAGACAGGTTGGTGAACCTTAATTTTTAACAAATTTAATGTCCGATAATTTTGTTTGGTTAATGTATGATCTGTATATGATGCGTGATCATTAGTGTATGAACATGTTCCTTTGTTTAGACTAAGAATTATAGTTTATGCTTTGGGGTGGCTTATTGTTTGGTGGGTGTGATGTGTTTGATTGATAGGGTTGGAAGCCTGAGAAGAACTTGAGGTTCCTTCTGCAAAAGGTTTTGAAGCAAAGCGATGTTGGAAGTTTGGGAAGAATTGTTTTACCAAAGGTAATCCTTTATTTGTTATTTTTTTATCTCTTATTTATTCGTTAGTTACTATATATTATATAAACTAAAAATCCCATTTTTTGATTCATGATTTTGATGAAAAAACTTGGTCAGAAAGAGGCAGAAACCCATTTGCCAGAACTAGAGGCAAGAGATGGAATTTCCATATCAATGGAAGACATTGGAACTTCTCGCATTTGGAATATGCGCTATAGGTAGTCGAAGTTTCAGACTAATTTTTTTTTTTGAATTATATTTTTTTTACCTTTCTGATACATTTGAGACTAAAATTTTATCTTTTTTTTGGATTATTACTTCTTGGAGCATCAGATACTGGCCAAACAACAAAAGCAGAATGTATTTGCTTGAGAACACTGGTTGGTTTTCTTTTATTACTTTTGGATTTGGCTTATATTTATTGATTGGCCCTTTGTTTTTCTTCCAAATTCATTTTTATGGGTTATTAATTTATTCATTTCTTTTTGCAGGGGACTTTGTAAGAGCCAATGGACTCCAAGAAGGAGATTTCATTGTGATATATTCAGATGTGAAGTGTGGCAAATTTGTAAGAGCCTTCTCTTATTTCTCTTATTTTTTTTTTAAATTTGAGAGTTAATTTATGAATTTTTTTTTGCCAAACAGATGATAAGAGGAGTGAAAGTGAGGCAACAGGGGGCGAAACCAGAGACCAAGAAAGCAGGAAAATCGCAGAAAAACCAGCATGGGAACAATGCAGCAACTACAGCTGGCGCTGGTGCTAATAACGGCACACCATCTTCACCTAAGCAGAAAAATGAAAAAGCAGTGAATTAATATAATAATATAGTATGTATGTGTATTATTATTATATATAGTAGAATAAAAAAGAGACTCTGAACACTCTGCTTACTACAAGTGTTATGGAGTTTGAGCATGCTCTGGGATGGAGGCTATCAAAGATCTGTATTTCTCTTAGTATTTACTATTTAATTGCCATTATTATGTGAAAATGTTGTATGTGCTTAGTATGGGTGTACATGTAACTCTATTAGGGATGTATGTGCCGTCCATTTTGTTACTTGGAATATTTTACATTAAAGTTTAGTTTGTGTAAAGAGTTAATGTTGTCTGTTTATCATCCAGAACTTGAATGGAATTGTATAAGATGGATCTTTGAGGTACATTATTGCATCTCTTGTTCGATATGGAAGTATGGAACCGTAGTTGAATTAGTGTTACTTGAATTAGGATGCTTTGAAAAGGAAAATAAATTTTATTTTATTTTTACAAAAATTCTTGTATCTTGAAAGATGGATTCTTGTTTCTTTCGAAGTATCGTTGCTATTAGATTATCAATGGAATTGTGAGTGGAATCCATATAAATCTAACATTACGGTGTTATAGTCTTCCTATAATAGAAAAATATAGAAATCGTTGTATATAACATCTATCTGTTGTTGGATTCTTATGTTTCACCAATGAAAAAATAGTACTAAATAGAGACCCAAGTTATGTATGTGACGTAGAGAACTAGAATATTGTTTGACTTGTGGTTTCAATGATGAAGGAGTCGTGTACGATTTCATCAGCGATGCGATTTCATCAGCGATGCATGGATATGACTTCCTCTTGCTTTGAATGAATAAAGGAAAATGATAATGGAACCCATGCCACTTTTTTTATAATATTTTTATTCTACGTAATTATATTTATAAATTTTTTATTTACAGATTCTTACAAATTACTCTATGTATTACATATAGTACACACTCAAATAGTATGTACTACTCGTAATACATAGCATAGTTTGTAAATATAACCTATCACTTTTTATTTAGGTAAAAATAATGTAAAAACCATAAATAGTTTATATTATGTAAAGGTTTAGTGTGTGTCCTTTTAAAGAACACAAACTTAAGTCTTTTTAAGGGAGAAATTAACACAAAAAGTTGTGGGTTCCACTGAAGAAAATAAAAAAAGGTGGGACCTACACCTCTATATGTCTATCTCTCACTTAAAAGGACATAACTTTTTCTATTATGTAATGAAAAAAAATATTAATGGATTCGTAACACCCTCTCCTAGAATCGATTTATTAACATTGCATATAATATTAAGCGAAGTTACAATCGCAGTAATTAAATTAAAATTTTGGATACATTTTTCTTTTTACTTTTTTGCATAAATATTGATTCTATACTCACATAATTCAAATACGTAATTGCAACTCATACATAATGCGGAAACATATTACATTTGCTTAAAATTATCCACCAAGTAGCCCTTATAAACTTACAAGGTGTAAAAAGTTCTAAACCTTTGTCTAACTTTGCTTGCTATATTGCTAGACTTCTCGCTGTAGTGAGCAAGTCAACGCGTAGAACCATTCCCAGGAAGAAGCTACTACCCTCCTCTGGATTAGCTCGCTAGACTGTTCGCTCTAGTGAGCAAAATAAAAACAAGACATTAGCGAGATAGTAGCTGGATTCTCTCCCTGACCTTGCTGGCTGCACTGCTCGCTCCAGCGAGCAAGCCCTATCCTTTAAGTGACTCTTTATTTTATGACTCCAACATGGGATTTCAATATCGTTTTTCTTCATCTTTTAGGGTACTTAATTGATCACATTAGCAATCATATGCCCAACATACAAAGGTACACTCATCTATTTGAAATATTACATGTCATATACATTTCTTAGGCTCTAAGCCACTTATTATTATGTTAGTTGCATCTCAAGCAACATCTATTATTTACTTCTGAATATACGTGATTCAAAATCTTATCAAGGCACCTAGCCATCTATTAGCTTAGGCTTCCATCAATATGCACCTCATTATAAAGTTTATTTACATAAACATATTCTCATGGCATAACCATCATTAAATCTCAAGATTACAGACATCAAATATTCATTATTCCTATACATCATCCTCTAGCAAGTGTACAACAAGACTATCGAAATAAACATAATCATACTAAAATGTCCAAATTACATAATCAATGTCCATTGTTCTCAACAAAATACGACATCTGAATTATGTAAAATACACATAGCCATCATCAAGGCCTCAAAATATACTTAGTCTCATGTGAATACTCTAAATAAACTGTTTACATGATGTCGAAATCAAAATATAACAGAATCCACATGTCATGCTATAGTTGGCCACTTGTCTAGTGATGTTTTCTCACTATCTGTGGATAGGGTTGGCAAAACGGGCCAACCCGGCTCGACCCGGCCCAACCTGCATTCAACCCGTAAAAAACGGGTTGGGTTAGGGTTGGTCCGAAAAAATAAACGAGCCAGAAAACCCAACCCAGCCCGACCCGAGCCGGGTTAGGGTTGGCTCGCGGGTTGACTCGATAATCAGCTCGCGGGTTGGCTCGGAATAAAGCTCGCGGGTTGGCTCAAAAAAAGCTCGCGGGTTAGCTCGAAATGATGCCAGTGGGTTAGCTTGCGGGTTGGTTAGCTCGAAATATTGGCTCGCGGGTTGGCTCGCGAGTTGGCTTGTGATGTACCTCTGGCAAGTGTGGTTTTTTTGTGTTAAAATTGATAAGAATTGAGTCATAAGAGAGAAATTTAAATAAATATTTGCTATTTATATTGATTCTTTCTATGTCAATAATATTCACCTTTTGGTTGTGTTTTTACAGAAAAAAGAGGAGTGAAAATTACAAATTATAAAAATCCTCTTAATGCAACTCCACACGATGTATCACAGTACAAATGCCAGCAGAATGGCGCAGACTGGCGCCACACCAGCGCCAATTGGCCCCAGATTGCGAACTTTGCAGCGGAGGTTTTTGAGTGGCGCTAAGTGGCACCAAAATGGCGCCACATTCGTCACCAAAATCATAGCGCCAACAGGCGCCCAACAAGAAGAAATCATGGCGCCAAAGGGCGCCCAAAGTCCAAGCATCATGGCGCCATGTCGCGCCCAAAAACATGAAGAAAGTAGCGCCACACCGGCGCCGGTTTACGGGAAAAAAGTACCGTGTTTTCGGAAGGGTATTTTTGGAAGAATAAAAGAGGCTTATAAATATATCCTCTTAATAGAACCCTGGGGGATATCTCATTCCATTCAGAAGGAGGCCCACGGCAGAGCTTAAGAGGATTCTTCCACAGTTCTTCTTCTTCATCTATTTAACTTTAATTTTATGCTTCCATTGAATATTGGATTTTTAGCCATGATTATGCTTGGCTAGATATTTTTTATTGTAGTTAGGGTCACGAGCCCTATGTGAACCCTTGTTACGATGAATTGATTTAGTTTTACTCATTTATATAATTATCTTTGTCTCTACCTGTGCGTATTTTCTATTTTCTTTATTAGAACTGATCAATCTGATAGTTGAGAATAGTTTGAGGGTTAGAACCCTAGATAGGAATATTGGGGTTTTGATCTTAAAAAGGGGTGGGATAACAATTGGTATGCATGCTATGAATATATGTGTATTTAATTGTGGATGCTTAAATTATTGCGTTCATTGCTTAATACCATGAGGAATATTGCAAGGAATTGAATATTTTCGAAAAAACTTCTATGTTCCAAACGACAAAAATTCTGTCATAAAATTATTTTTTCGTCGGAATCCATTTCGTCGAAAACTGACGAATTTTTTCTCCGACGAAATTTTTTACTAAAATTTCGTTTGAAATTTTCAATGAAATTTAGTTTTCGTCAAAAGTTTTGACGAAAATGATTTCCTCTATCAAATGTTTTAAATGAAAAAAGAATTCCCTCAAAATTTTGAGGGAATGTTTTTCGTTTAAAATTTTGATAGAAATGTGTTCTAACAAAAATTTCGACAGAAATTGTTGTCAAAATTTTTTAGGGAAATGTTTCATTTGAAACTTTCGATGAAATTTAGATTCTGCAAAAAATTTTGAAAGAATATTTTTTCCAACAAAATATTTTATGTCAAAAAATTTTAAGAAAATATTTTCTGTCAAAATTTTTTGACAAAAATGTGTTCTGTTAAAAATTTTCATGAAAATGTTTTTCATCAAAAAACTTGACCGAAATATTTTCTGTCAAAATTTTTTGATGGAAATGTCTTTTGATAAAAATTTTGACGAATTTTTTTTTTGACAAAAAGTTTAACGAAAATATTTTTGTCGAAAACTTTCTACGAAATTTAAATTCTGTAAAGAATTTTGATGAAATAATTTTCTGTCAAAAGTTTTCGATGAAAATGTGTTTCGTTGAAAATTTTGATGGAAATATTTTTCGTCAAAAATTTCGATAAATATATTTTTTGTGAAATATTTTGACGAAATTCATATTCAATAAAGAATTTTGACCAAAAAAAGTTTTCGTCAAAATTTTTTACAGAAATATTTTTAGTCATAAATTTTGATGGAAATATTTGTCGCCAAAATTTTTGCGGAATATTTTGATGGAACTGTTTTTCGTAAAAATATTTGACGTAATTGTTTTACGTCCAAACTTTTTGATGGAAATGTGTTTCGTCAAAATTTTGGACGAAAATATTTGCGTTGAAATTTTGGACGGAATTTAGATCCTGTCTCTAATTTTGTCTTTAGTTTTGACGGAGATTTTTTGACGTATATAATTTTCGTAAAAAATATCATCATTATTTTTGACGAAATATTTTTCGTCGATAAATTCTGTCGGTATTTGAGATTTTTCTAATAATGTCACATTTAAAAATGATTCACATTTATGTAGTTTTCACATTTTAATGCTAAGGGTAGATAAGTAATTTTTATATTTTCCCCCTCAAACCCTCCAAATTGGAAGAATTTTAATTTTAAGAAGAATGAGGGCTTTGGAAGATTCAGTAAAAAATTTCAATTTCTTCCCCTCAT